TATAAAAACAGTTTTAAAGTGGGAAACAATAAGAGAGATCCCTCAGGAGAATCCAAGCACTTATGGTCCCTCCCAGGTTTACTCCTTCATACACTTATCATTTCTTCCCTTCTCTCAAAAAGTGAAGCCCTATAGTTTGAATGAAGGACTACCAATTAAAAACTATGGTGATTCTAATAATTTAAATTTCTTAGCTACTAAAATTAAATTCAGCCAGGCATACTGGCATATACCTGTAATCCCAGCAACTCAAAAGACTGAGGTAGGAGGATCATGAGTTCAAAGCTAGCCTCAGCATCTTAGTGAGGCCCTGTCTCAAAATAAAAAATAAAAAGGGCTGGGGATGTGGCTCAGTGGTAAAGTGTCCCTGGATTAAATAAACAGGATAGACTCAAATTAAAAGTTTCTTCTCAGCAAAAGAAACAATCTGTGAGGTGAATACAGAGCCTACATCTTGGGAGCAAATTTTTACCCCTCACACATCAGATAGAGCACTAATCTCTAGGGTATATAAAGTAATCAAAAAGCTAAACACCAAAAAAACAAATAACCCAATTAATAAATGGGCCAAGGACATGAACAGACAATTCTCAGAAGAGGATATTCAATCAACAAATATATGAAAAAATGTTCATCATCTCTAGCAATTAGAGAAATGCAAATCAAAACTAAGATACCATCTCACTCCGTCAGAATGTCAGCTATTATGAAGACAAAAATAAGTGTTGGCGAGGATGTGGGGAAAAAGGTACACTCATATATTGCTGGTGGGACTGCAAATTGGTGCAACCAATATGGAAAGCAGTATGGAGAATCCTTGGAAAATTGGGAATGAAACCACCATTGGACCCAGCTGTCCCTGTCCTTGGTCTATACCCAAAGGACTTAAAAACAGCATATTACAGGGACACAGCCACATCAATGTTTATAGCAGCACAATTCACAATAGCTAAACTGTGGAATTATCTTGGATACCCTTCAGTAGATATATGGATAAAAAAAAATGTGGCATATATACACAATGGAATATTACTCAGCAATAAAAGAGAATAAAATCATGGCATTTGCAGGTAAATGGATGCAGTTGGAGAAGATAATGCTATGTAAAGTTAGCCAATCCCAAAAAAAACAAATGCCAAATGTTTTCTCTGATATAAGGTGACTGACTCATAGTGGGGTAGGGAGAGGGAATATAGGAGGAATAGACAAACTCTAGGTAGGGCGGAGGGGTGGGAGGGGAAGGGAGGAGGCTTGGGGTTAGCAATGATGGTGGAATGTGATGGACATCATTATCCAAAGCACATGTATGAAAACATGAATTGGTGTGAACATACTTTATATACAAACAGAGATATGAAAAATTGTGTTCCATATGTGTAATAAGAATTGTGATGCATTCCGCTGTCATGTATTTAAAAAATAAAAGCAATTTTTAAAAAATCCCCAGTGCCAAAAAAAATTAATAAATTAAAATTTATTTAAAATAAGTAAATAATAATGAAATTAAATTGAACTCATTCGCACTTTCACATTAATCCATTTGCATTATAAGTCTGTTTATAATTTTCAAATTAAAAATTGGAAAATTAAAAGAATACAAACAATGCCATCTAAAGCATGAAATGTGTGTAAACTACAGCCCAATTATCATATATATATATATATATATATCACTGGAGGGCGAACAAGTACTTTTGGGGGGAAGAAATCGGTATTTTATATACTCCCAACATAAAACAGAAGCACATAAGGAAAATAAATTAGTTGGTGTATGTGCTGCCAAAGTGAGCACTAAATAAGGAAAATAAATTAGTTGGTGTATGTGCTGCCGAAGCGAGCACTAAATCTTAGTTGGCTTAGTAATGTACCAAGGAAAATGAGAATTCTAACATCCCCAGGATTATAAAGACCCAAAATATAGTCTTTGATCCCCAAAGTTCACCTACCATCACAAGCAACTGTTCCTCTGAAAGGGACTGAAGAAATTTCCTCAGTTCTAGCAGATTCTCAGAGTGTATCCTGCAAAGTCTGATGGTTGGTTTTCATCTCTCTGGGTTATATGATACTGATTTATATTAAACTGACAATTCGTCCCTCCAGAAAACAATACAAGTGTGGCAGACAGTTTTCCACAATCCCTCCTGGACAGTTCTAACTAGTCAAAGAGGCAATGTTAGAAGATAGTGAAGTGGTGCACACCAGTAATCTCAGTGATTCAGGAGGCTGTGGCAGGAAGATTGCCAGTTTGAGCCAGCCTCAGCAACTTAGTGAGACCCTGTCTCAAAATAAAAAGTAAAAAAGGCTGGAGGTACAGCTCAGTGGTAGAGCTCCCTTGAGTTAAACCCCAAGGACCACAAAAAAGGGGTGGGGGGGCAGGAGGGAATGTCAATGGTCATATAAAATATATAATTCCTTCTTTCCTTTTTGTAGATGAGTTTCCAGTTTCAGGAGAATCATTCCAGGATTAACATCTACCTAGAAAGTATCTCCCTAGAATAGTTTTAATACCACAAATCAGACTTCTCTTGGTCTTCTTGACCAAGGGGATACTGAAGTTATCTAAAATAAGATACTTAATATCAATCAATGTACCACTTGGAAAATCAGGTCAAATGCTCTTTTGAATGCATTTCTGTCTGAATGGACACATAGGGAATATTACAATCAACTTTTAAAAGATTTGGTATATTAAAATTCATATTTAGCTCAGATATCATCACTATTAATATATGGTTTCCAAATACCCTGCGCTTTTGATGTAGATGGGAAAAAGAAAATTTTAATAAGCTAGGGTTATATTGTAACATTATTCTTTTTAAATACTTTTATTTTATTCCTTTTTATTTTTATGTGGTTCTGAGGATTAAGCCAAGTGCCTCACATGTGCTAGGCAAGCACTCTACCACTGAGCTACAACTCCAACCCATAAAATCAGTTTTATATTTAAGCTTTTCACTTATCAGGATATTGTTTCCTGTTGAGACATACAAGGTTTTAGGAAAGGAAAAAGATTAGAAAAACAAGAACAAGGTATAGCAGCACCAATACAAATAGATCAAGTAACAGACAGACATGGGTTGGATTTTCAGAAGGGGCCACTGAGACAATAAAAATTACTTGGAAATCAGAAAGACCAGTATGGGTTCCTCAGTGGCCCCTGACTAAAGAAAAGATACAAGCAGCCCATGACCTAGTCAAACAACAATTAGCAGAAGGACATATACAGCCTTCTGTATCTCCCCATAATATTCCCATTTTTGTCATCAAAAAGAAATCTGGAAAATGGAGATTATTGCAAGATTTAAGAGCCATGAATAATGAGATGGTTATTATGGGACCTGCTCAATCAGGGATTCCTCAATTGTCTGCTTTGCCAAAAACCTGGTGTGTTTTAGTTATAGATATTAAAGATTTGTTTTTTTTTTTCAATTCCAATTCATCCTGATAGTCCACGTTTTGCATTTACTATCCCTGCACTGAATCATGAAGGTCCTGATCAGAGATATGAATGGAAAGTACTCCCTCAAGGGATGGCTAACAGCCCAACTATCTGTCAAATTTATGTTAACAAAGTAATCCAGCCACTTAGATATCAAAATCCTGAACTACAAATATTTCACTATATGCATGATGTATTATTAGCACACAAAGATAAAAACACATTGCTAGAATGTTATGCCACACTTACAAACTTATTAAAAAATTATAATCTAGAAATAGCAATAGATAAAGTACAATTAAATTTTCCAATTAATTAATTAGGAGTTCTAATATCCTCAACCATGGTCTGTCCACCAAAAATTCAAATACAACTAGATCAACTCAAATCACTTAACGACTTTCAAAAGTTATTAGGAGACATAAATTGGATAAGGCCTTATCTAGGTATACCAACAGGAGAGTTGGCACCTTTATTTGATATCCTAAAAGGTCCATCAGATCCAAATTCAACCCGAATGTTAACGCCTGAAGCAAGAAAGGCATTAAAAATCATTGAAATGTATATGGAAAATATGCATTTGGATAGAATTGACATAAGTTTGCCTTTATTATTTATTGTACTACCAACAAAAAATATTCCTACAGGAGTATTTTGGCAAGAAGGTCCATTATTATGGATATATTTATCTTATTCTCCTAACACTATTCTTACTAGGTATCTTGAGGCTGATTGGCTGGGTCGCATGGGCGGAGCCAAAAAAAAGTCCCCCAATGAGCAGCTCCATGGTCTGAAAGGGCGGAGAAACAACCCAATGAGCATCACCACAGAGGAGCCAATCAGCTGGCAGCTGGAAGTTTGCTGGCAGCTGGAAGTTTGCTGGGGTCCCTTCGGCTGTGGCTCTCAATATCTAGGGACTGGCGTTGTGGCTTAGCGGTAGAGCGCTCGCCTCCTCAAACTTGCAAGACCCTGCCTTCAATCCTCAGCACCACATAGAAATAAAGGTAACTAAAAAATAAATATATTTTTTTAATATTTATTTTTAGTTTTTGGCGGACACAACATCTTTGTTTGTATGTGGTGCTGAGGATCAAACCCGGGCCGCATGCATGCCAGGCAAGCATGCTACCGCTTGAGCCACATCCCCAGCCCTAAATATTCTTTCTTAAAAAAGAATCTATTAAATGTGATAATGGTAAACATTACAAAATGGGAAAATTTTAACACACAATAGATACTTTCATTAAAAACCCTTAGTTAATTATTCTTTCAATGTGAAATTTAATATTGTTTTTTCAGGTTAATACTCAAAGGAGAAGCCCACCTGAATAGAATCCTATCATGTCAAATAGAGCTATACAAGAAAAAAGGTTCAGAAGAAAAAGACTACCAAAGTAATTAGTTTGAAGCAAACAAAACTAATCACATCAATCTTTGCTCTAAACCACAGGCAGATAATTCAGCAACAAACTCTGACATTGCCCTAATTAATCAAACCCCTTCAATATGGACAATTTGACAATCTAAAGACAGTGGAAGAAACAAATCTGAAGTATTTTACCTTGAGAGCACAAAAGATGCAGGAATCGCCCATGCATTTGTGAGTTGTCAGCTGCCTAAAGCTACGACGAAAGATGTCCAGGTGCCACAAAACCTAGCAAAAAAGTGAAAACACTTCATTTCTCTATAAAGAGCCACTGTTTAATTTTAAATTCAACAGTTAAAGCATACATAAGTAATGATTAGAGAAGCAATCTTTATTCTCAAGAGAAAAGCTCATCCTAATATATTAAAACAAACACCAAAAAAAGGTGAGGTAAATAACATGAGGATAAATGAAAGTATTTTGGAGAAAACATTAATTTGAACATGAAATAAAGGTCATACAGGAAAAAAAACATGGTCTTACATATATGAAATGTGATCCTGAAGAAGAAATTTATAGATTGAAAGTGCAGAAATAGGGCTAGCTATACAGTTCAATGGTACAGCACTCAATTAGCATGTGTGAAGTCCTGGGTTTGATCCCCACCACCACAAAGGAAAAATAAAAAACACTGTAGAATATAGATTTTATTTTAATAGTCCACACAAGAAAAGCAAATATATTTTAAAACTTATAATAGAAGCTTGAACTGTAGTGGCTCAAATCCATAACACCAGCTACTGAGAAGACTGAGGCAGGAGGATTGTAAATTCAAAGCTGGGATGGGCAACTTAGTAAGTCTCAAAATAAAATAAACAGGGCTAAAGATATAACTCAGTGAGAAAGTGCTTGTCTACCATGTGTGAGGGACTGGGAGTGGGGTGGGGGAAGGAGAAAAAACAGTAGGAGGAGCAGCTTGGACTACAGTATGAAATATTCACAATTTTTTAACTTCTGAGGTGTGATCTCTTGAAGTCAACAGGATAAAAAACAATAGTGATATCAACAATGATAAATGATATTCATAGTATGTACTCATGATATGATGTAAAAGAATGATACTTTACTTCTATGGTCTTCCTCTTCAAAATCCATTACCCCAGTCTAATCGTGACAAAAACATCAGACAAATTCTAATACAACCTGGGCACAGTGGCACATGGTTATAATCCCAGCCAGTTGGGAGACTGAGGAAGGAGACTCATAAATTCAAGGCCATCGTTGGCAACTTAGCAAGACCTATCTCAAAATTTAAAAAAAGCTAGGGATAGCTTGGCATGCCTATAATCCTAGGGGCTCGGGAGGCTGAGACAGGAGGATCACGAGTTTAAAGCCAGCCTCAGCAAAAGCGAAGTACTAAGCAACTCAGTGAGACCCTGTCTCTAAATAAAATATAAAATATGGTTGGGGATCTGGCCCAATGGTTGAGTGCCCCTGAGTTCCCTGGTATCCCCCCCCCAAAAAAAAAACTACTATGTATTATCTGGGAGAAAAATCTAATCAACCTTATCTAACTATCTGAAATTTTAGGAAAAACACTTAAGCTCTTTCTATAGGTTTGACAAATAAAAACTTGAAAATTGAGAAAGTGTATAAAACTTTTATTATATACATAAGCTTACAAGATTCTTGTATTATGAATGAGAAACTCAGTATTACCTATACAAGGTCATGCAGCTAGTCTATAAAAGTGCTACAATAAGAATCCAAGTCTCCTAATTTCCTAGTCCTGGATCCTTTATAGCAAATATATTGTGCTATCTTTTCTTCTCTCATAGCAACCTATTTTCTTACTAAATCTGAGACATCATGCTAATAATTTCACACAGGTGTAATTGTCTTGGATAGCAAACTTTGTTTACTTTTACAATAACAGAGAGAAAAGAAGAGAAAGTAATTACTTGAGAATTGGACCAGAGGGGATAAACAAAATACTCTGTGGGCCTGAATAGGCAGAGGAGAAGCTTTGAGATTCTGAGACCACTAAAGTGGCATGTAAGAGAAAAAGGGAACACCTAGGGTAGATAATTACCTTAGGGAATTTACTTTCCTCTAGCTCTTTTCAAGCATATTTAACCAGACACAATGATCATGAGCCAATACAGGAAGGCTGAGAGAGAGAAGATGAAGGAGAGAACAAAGACTGAACTCCATTCTTTAGAGAACATGAATATGAGACATGAACAGGGGCTGGGGCTGCAGCTCAGTGGTAGAGTAACCTGCCTCGAACCTGTGAGGCACTGGGTTTGAACCTCAGCACCACATAAAAATAAATAAAGATATTGTGTCCATCTACAACTAAAAAAAAAAAAAATTTTTTTTTTTTTAAGAGAGAGTGAGAGAGGAGGGAGAGAGAGAGAGAGAGAGAGAATTTTTTTTAATATTTATTTTTTAGTTCTGGGCGGACACAACATCTTTGTTGGTATGTGGTGCTGAGGATCGAACCCGGGCCGCACGCATGCCAGGTGATCGCGCTACCGCTTGAGCCACAACCCCAGCCCAAAAAAAAAAAAAATTTTTTTTAAATATATGAGACATGAACATTGAAAGTCTCTAACTTGTAGAAAGAACTCTGTTCTCTGTACTAGAGAAATACAACTAGGGTGATAAGACATCTTGTCTCAAAAAGGAAACAGTAGTATCCAATTTAGGATAAAAGTTAATAAGCAAGTAGAAAGATCACCTGATCTATTAACTAATACTATTTAAGTAGGTAAATAGCAGTAATTATACTTACTGTTGTTTCTAGTATCATTATTATTCCCATTTCTATAAATAAGTTAATTGGAATTCCAAAAATAAAAAGACCTGCCTAAGATCACACTGATAAACTTAAAAAAAGATTCACATTGTCAATTATTATATTTAAAAGAGTACCAGAAACATAACATCACCAAACAAAAACTTAACGTTCACTAAAAATAAAAAAATTACTCTTACCTGCAGGGCACTATTGAGGAAGCAGCTATTTTGCCCAGGCTCATTGCTGAGGCCTTTGCTGGGGGCTATGGAGGTTGAGCTTCGAGGTGCAAACATCCCTTGGACACTGCCACGGCCCCCTGAAAAATAATTTCTTTTCCAAGACATAACTGTTCACATTTAGCTTAAAAACACAGAGAAGGCTTTGTATCTTTTGGGCGGGTAAATTTTATCTGTTGAAATCCTCAAAAGATAGAGAATCCAGAACTTGGGTGTGAGTTTATGTTGAAACACTTTGACTATAAATTTCCAAACATCAAATATGTAGTTCAAGGAATTCATGTAGCCTCTTAGGTCCAGATGATGGTGCTAACCGTCACTTGCCCCACTGTCCAAAGTGTAACAAAGCACAGGATTAATCTAGAGAAGTTCTTTAGTATTGCTTCTTTCTATTTTTCTTGAACTTCCTCCAAAAAGTCCTGGTGAAATGGACGTAATCCTCAACTCCAGCAGCATCCAAAATCAGGGAAAGACATGTTCTTCAGTCTTGTTTATAATGCTTCTTATGGACTGAAGATTTTTTCCAACTGGAAGGAGAGGCAGACAGATAAGCAGGAATCCAACATAACCCTCCTTGCCCTCCACTGCCTTGTCCCATCATCCTCTACTGCAAAAACTCAATTTCTGAACAACTGACAAATATCTCAAAAAGCTAAGAATTTTTGTTGTTGTTATTCTCTGTTGCTTCTTTTTAATGTGCCCTAAATTTCTTCTAGCTTCCCAACCAGATCTTCAGAATGTTTCTTTTCTTCTGGAACTAGAATAGCCAGCTGTGCCAGAGAGCTTCAACAGAAAGGGGAAAAAAAAAATCAAAAGCTTGCGTCACTTAATGACTTTACTGGCTTTGCACTGTTCTGCCAAGATCAACGTTGCCTCACCTCTCACTATAAACTTGAAACCTTGGCAAACAATGCCAAAAAAGAAAAAGGAAAAAAAAAACTGTACCAGCAGCAACAAAAAAAGAGAAACACTCAAATGTTTAAAAAAAAAAAAACGGTATAAACAGTTTTAATTTCTTGGGAAACCTCTCTGAAATTTTCTTGAAGGAAAAGAAAGTTGATGAGTTGATATGAATAAAAATTTAATAATACAAATGTTCTAGAATCAGGCTAACAAAAATAAAACAAACAAAAAAATCATTAAGTAAGCACACTCCAAACTAGAATTACATTTCTTTTGGATGTTTGGAGTAAAGCACTTTTTAAAAAGTGTTTTCCATGTGTATGGTTTTGAAAAACTCTAAAAGTGGGAGGGATAAATTAGCTATCTGGACTCTTGTTCTGAGTAAAGATGTCGCATCTCAGAGAAACACTCTTGGTAAGTAAATCACATTTTTTTTTTAATATTTATTTTTTAGTTGTAGTTGGACGCAATATCTTTATTTTATTTATTTATTTTTATGTGGTGCTAAAGATCGAACCCAGGGCCTCACACATGGTAGATGAGCGCTCTATTGCTGAGCCACAATCCCAGCCGTAAACCACATTTCTTAACACCACGTCCAACAGAACTAAATCTCCTCCCACCCTCTGTTTGATTGATTTTTTTTTTTATTCAATGATTTCTGACAGAGGATCAGAGAGATAATTTGAGTAACGAATGATTTAATCATTAGATTATACCAGAAGGGCTCACTGAGACCAAGTATAGTTTTCAACTAAAATGCCCATGAAGCAACAGTGAATAATATCAAAGCAAACACTTTTCCTGGAAGGAAATCATCTAATCTCTAGCTTTTAAGATTTCCTATTACCTGCATATCCACATAAGAAAAAAAATAAAAACATTAAGTGATAAATTTCTAAAGTTATTCAAGTTTCGCAATTCTTTCCCACTGTGTGCACCACTTTAAAAAAAAAAAAGGCTTTAATATTTTAATCACATTCTAGGAAAGAACCTAAAATTGTCCATAGCAAGTCCAGAGGAAAAACTTACAAGAATATTAGATAGTTGCACAAAACTGTTCCTTCTCTTCTCTAAATTCCCAGACTATTTATAATCATCACACATCACAAAGGATTTGATTACACACCATACTGTCATATTATTTGCTGTGTTTTATTACTCCATTTGTTTTATATGGTATCAGTCATGTGTCTTGAATATGACTACATGAAATACAATAATAACAGTGTCAAACATCTGCTAAACACTATACACTTCTTCATTTAATCTTCACAATAGCCCTATCAGGTAGATATTAATAGTTCAATTTTACAGAAGAATAAAGTGAGGCTTAAAGACATTAAATTGCCCAATTCAAAGCTAGTATGTGGCAGAGCCAGAATTGTTTTCACTATGCACTGTCAATTATGTATTTTATTATACTATTCTAAAATCTTCTATCATAGTGCTGATCATAAGGAGGCACTCATGACCAGGGTCAGTTCATCAATGATTCAGATGGAAAAAAACATGAACAGTATTTCAATTTCTAAAGAAGGTACAGTAGGGCTGGGGATGTGGCTCAAGCGGTAGCACGCTCGCCTGGCATGCGTGCGGTCTGGGTTCGATCCTCAGCACCACATACAAACAAAGATGTTGTGTCCGCCGAAAACTAAAAAATAAATATTTAAATTCTCTCTCTCTCTCTCTCTCAAAAAGAAAGAAGGTACAGTAGTCCCATTACAAGTGATTAAAGCTAAAAGTAAGACTGGAGATGTAACTCAATGTTAAAACACTTCTCTACCATGTGCCTACTGATTTACGTGACACCGAGAAAGAAGCCACATTCTCCCACACAGATTATAAGACCCTCACATCTCTATACACACCCTTATACACACCCCACTCAATGCCACTAAGGAACTTTAAACAAGCTGTACAGCATTCCTTCAGCTCAACTGCTGCAAAGGAATGACAAGTACCAAGCCTCTACTTTGCTCAGAGCCAAAAGAACTTGGCAGGCAGATGGGGTTTCCAATATCCACATTAAGAGCTTACTGAAACTCAGCCTGCCCTATGACACACACCTGAGTACTGGGAGCAAAGGGGAAAAGACAGTAGCAGAAAAAGGATTCTTAGGTTCTGAATGGTAGCATTATGTAGGGTAAGGCAATAAGTTCTCACACTAGCTCTAGGTGTGTCAGAAACTAGTGGTGAGAGCCAAAAAGAAAAAAGACAGGAGAGTCAGTAAAAATGTTCTAGATAAATACCAATGACAAAAACATTTCACTTGAAATGAAATGTTCAGCTCTAGGTCCAGCACCAAATAGCATAATTGTTCTCCAGTGCCATCTACTGAAGATATATGAGCAAGTAAGTTACAGTTCAATCTATATAGCTCTAAAAATCTGCTCTTAAAAAGAATTTTTCAGGCAAAACTGAAGTATTCCAGGATAAAAAAGCATGTCTGCAACTCACTTTCAAATGATTCAGAAAGGAAGGAAATACTTTTACACATACATACAGAGAGATTTCTATACAAAAAAAAAAGAAAAAGACAAGAACAAAAAAGTATGAGGATAAAATAAAATGGAATGAAGCTTGAATACTATTTCCATGAAAAGTAGAGCTCAGAGCCAAGTGTGGTACACCTAGGATTCCCAGCTAATTGGGAGGCTGAGGCAGGAGGATCCCCTAGAGCTCAAGGCCAGCTTGGGCAGCATAGCAAGACTCCATCTCAAAGAGAGATAGAGAGAGCTGGGGTTATGGCTCAGTGGTAGAGTGCTTACCTAGCATGTGCAAGGCCCTGGGTTCAATCCTCAGTACCACATAAAAATAAATAAGGTATTGTGTCCAACTACAACTAAAAATAAATATTTTAAGAAAAAGAGGTGGGGGGGGTGCTGGAGATACAGCTCAGTTGGTAGAGAGCTTGCCTCACATGCACGAGGCCCTGGGTTCAACTCCCAGCACCTCAAAAAAAAGGGCAGGGGGGTTGGTACTTAAAATTGCACAATAAAGCCATTTAAAAAAAGAAAAAAGAGGGGCTGGGGTTGTGACTCGGTTGTAAAATGCTCATTCGAGGCACTGAGTTTGATCCTCAGGACCACATAAAAATTAATAAAATAAAGGTATTGTGTCCAACTACAAAAAAAAATTAAAAGTAAAAAAAAGAGAAGGAGGGAGGGAGAGAGCGCTCAAAATACAGTATAAGGTCAAGTTGTTGTAAAAAGCAAATGATGAAGACTAATACAACACAAAGAAGACTTACAGCTAAACTTGAAGACAGAAGACAAGGTTCAATTTCCACATTTTTACTATGTGGTATAATCCCATACAAATTACTAAATACCCTGAACTTAGTTTTCTGGGTCTGTAAAACAGAGGCAGAATATCTATTACATACAGTGGTTGAGATCTGATGCAGAAGAATGACAGTACTGGCAAATTTGAAAACAAAGAATAAATAATGAGTTCACTGAATGAATGAGCCCCAATGACTAGAGGTAGAAAGAAAGATAAATTTTGTTTTGGGAACCTCAGAATACCAGAAAGTTGTAACCTACCAAGGATATATTTTCTAACTGCAAAAAAATTATTGCATAATTGATCTCACAAAGTATGATGTAAAAAATGTACACAAAAAATGTAGTATGTTAACAAACTACATTCTAGGAGAAAGAACTGAATTTCACAATTATTTTTAAAATATGAAGCTTAACTTTAAAAGGCAAACAATTGATCCTATTAAAAGGAAAAGGAGTACATTTAAGAAAGCCTGCAAAAAATTACCAGGTTCGACTCATCAATGATCAAATGGGAAAACCATGAACAGTATATCAGTTTCTAAAGAAGAGACAGTAGTCCCATTATGAGTAATTGAAGCTGGAAGTAAGGCTGGACATGTAATTCTTGTCTACCATGTACACAAAGTTCAATCCCCAGCACTGGGGTTTGGAGGAGTATTTTTTTTTAAACTAATAGTAACCCAAACATTAGAAAGTCAGACATACAATACTGAGATACACAAAGAGTTTAACCAGAAGTTTTTCACACTTCTAGTTTCTAGTACTCTAAACAGCAATTTACTCAAGAAGCCATATTTGTAAAGGTTGTGGATATATACAGTTCAGTGGTAGAGCAATTGCCTTTCGTGCCTGAGACACTGGGTTTAATCCCAGCACTGCCCAGAAAAGAAAAAAAGAAAAAACACCTATATTGGTAAATCAACAGCCCAATTACCTGAGTTCCTTGGTATACTCCACACATCAATAATTCCAAATGATATCTACAGTATCTTAAAGGTTATTGTGAGGATTTAAATATGAGTCAATATATACAAAGTGTTAATGTCTGACATTCAGTAATGACCATATAAATTATTATGTTGTTACTGCTTTTCAAATATTTCTTTTTCATGAGTTCTTTTCCCTTTAAAGACAACCACAGGGACTGGGGATGTGGCTCAAGTGGTAACGTGCTCGCCTGGCGCTGGGTTCGAACCTCAGCAACACATAAAAATAAAATAAAGATGTTGTGTCCACCTAAAACTGAAAACAAATACATAAAAAAAAAAACTCTCTCTCTCTCTCTCTCTCTCTCTCTCTCTCTCTCTCTCTCTCTTTAAAAAAGAAAAAAAAGA